TTCAAAAACCATCCATTCCATGATTTCCCTGTTATTATGCGAAATTTATATTAGAACCTGGCTTTGTAAAATGTAAGCGGCAAGAGCCATTTTTTTAAAGGCTTGATGGTATTTCATTGGGAGGAAAATTTAATTGTGTAAGATTTAAGAAGATTATGAAATTTTGGATTTTTTAGTCAACACCTTTTTTTAAATGAAAAAAACTTATTTGAAGGATTGTAAACAGACAAAAAATAATTAGTTGACAGAAGTGAAAACATTCAGAAAAGGAGCTAGGAAAAATGGGGAAAACTTGGGAAGCTTGCAAAGGCATTGGGTAAGGAAACGCTGGGTTGTTTTACTTATTTTTTTACTTTTTACGAGTGAATGGCTGTTCAATGCTTTTCAATTTTTCATTAAAGCATACGGCAGTTATTTTCCTAGAAGGATTACTTTAAATTATTGCCCAAAAATGTCATCAAGAGCAGTTTTAGCATCGGGGGAAGGAATGTATTTTTCAGAAATTGTTAAAAAACGAAACAAAAAATTTAGAGATGAAATTTTATTGGATTGGAAAATTTGAAGGAATAAGAATTAAGTTCTCTCTTTATACTTTTGAACTAATTTAAGCAGTTATTTATTCTTTTCAGCCCTTTGCTTAAAATTTTTTTTAACAGGCCTGAATAAATTGTTCAGAATTGTCAGTAAAAATAAAAATTGAAAGGTACCACATGGGGAAATATTAAAAAAAGTAGTTTCGTTCATTGGGGGAAAAAGTGAAATTAATATTTTGGAATAATTTTCCACTGTGAAATTTATCAAAATAAATTTTTCACGGAATAAATCAGTAATTACCACTGAAAAGCATAAAATAAAAAGGGGGTAATATTTTTTGGGATTATCATTAACAGGATTAATATTGATAGAATTTCAAGTTCCTGTGGTAAAATAATGCTAAATAGAGAGAAGCAATAACTTGTGCATCTAGGGGGCGGTGCTATTGGGACATAGGCGGCGTATTACATTAACTTCTGCCGCCCATGAACAGGTCCTGCAATTTTCCTTTTATGAAGTCAATACCGGTTATCATAAAAAACTTTCAGGACTACACTTACGAAACGGATTAAAATTAAGCTTACTGAAATCAACCATAACGGGCCAGATATACATCATTATTTTTTCCCCCTTTTTCCTACCAATATTTTCATAAACGGAATCCCTTAAGAACCCCCAAAACGTCAAAATTAAATTCCCAAATGGCGGGAGGTTCGGGTTTGGGTTTAGCCTGTTCATGGAAAGGACTGGAACCGGGGACTTAGTGCAAAAATACCGCCACGCACTAAACAAAATTCAAAAAAAACATTTAAAAAAAAGGTTTCAATTTTGGAATTTTCAAACATCCGCGAAAATGTTCATAAGTGGGGATTTATTTTAAAACTACGTTAAACCGGTGTTAACCACATATTTCCCCTTAAGGGGTTTCTTTTGGTTTTTCCCCCCAAAAAATCCTTCTTTGGATTTAAAAAACAGTTTCAAAAAAAGGACCCCCTAAAAAGGGTCTTTATTCTCCCCACACTCCCCATTTTCGAAAAAGGCTATTACCTTTCGAATTTCTTTAAAATTCCCTTTTATTTTTAACCCCTTTTCATAGTAAAGGGGCCCGGAAAAAAGGGGAAAAATGCAAAAAAATGGAAACTATTGAATGAATGACCAAATAAAAATTGAAAGATGTCTCTTTGACACTGATATTCTCGTCACATGTATCTATATTTCTAGTTTTTTAAGTAAATGCCTTGTATACCTTTTGAGTTATGCTCCTGACAAAGGTAGTGGGAAAAGGGAGAAAAACAGATAAGACTGACAAGTACAACTTTTTTTATCACCATTGGACGCGTCTAACGTACTTGAGAAACACCAAACAGCATGGACGCCGAGAGATTAGGCGGATTGGATCTACCGAGAGAGAGGGTTGTGTTGCTAATTTGTTCCCAATTATATCAACAAGATTTAACCTACCTGCATCTTTATGAAAAAATAGGGAGAAAATAACACATGAAAAACAAGATCAACTTGGAAGGCCGGCATTCAATGAACGCATCCATAAACAAAGGACCACCGACAAGGAGACCAGCAGGACACCAAACAGGACAGGGCACACGAGCAAACAACGGACGGATCATTATAAACTACCCCTCCAAAAAAACCTTCGGAAACCCACAAGGCAATCAAAGAAGAAAATTATAAAAGTAAAAAAGACAAACATTTGAGTAATACAGAAGGGCGCCGCTTTGGAACGTCAGCTGTAAAAGTACTGATCGGGTGTTTAAAACGGTTAACGGTGCACCAAACCTCTATCTTAGCCCAAACATGTTGTTATGGCTACTGGTGAATAAGTAAAATACCGAATGATTATGCAGATACATATTTAAGGTTTCCCAATGATCATAACAAAAATACTCATTGCCTTAAACACAGAGCAGGAAAAAATTGCAAGGGCCCGCCAAAGGAAGGCAGAAGACTAAAATTAAGATGATTTAGTCATGATGGGTTTTAAGAACTGTCCATAGAGTCCCCCACTTAATCCGTCGGATATAATCAAAAATAGAAGCGTGGTACCAAACTGTAAAAGGGTTGAACACTTAGCATGCGGTATGTCTTAAAATAGTATGGCCATTACCTATTTTAATAAAACTTTTAATAATTTTAGTAAAGACACCAGATTTCCATGACCAAAGGTCTTACAAAGTTGGTAAATCACATCCCCATAAAAGTCAGGTTTGCTAATCTCTAGTCACAGAAGTTATACTCAAAATTAGTATTGAATTAGTATTAATCCTTTACCACATGAGTATATTGTGAAAAATGGCCGTTTTCATTTAAAAATACTCAAGTTCAAACTGATATGAAACTATGAAAAATTCTTCAGTACTGATGAAACTTGGCACAAATGTTGACTGGACCATAACCTCTGTAACAGCATGCTCAATCTTTAATTTCCTGTTACCATGGCAACGGGGGGACGTCTCAAAATTGCCACAAATCACCATTTTGCATTGTTTTTCCATCAAAACTGATTTTAGTGTTGCAACTTCTCAATGGATTGAGATAGAGTAAAAGTCTTTTCAGCATTATTTACACGTTACCTTACGATCGACCTGAGGCCATTTTTAGCATGTCACATGTCCAAAATTTTCTTGGCGATGAGGGGGGGGGGGGGGGGCTCATCCGGTCAAATAAACTTCACATTTAGCTGCAAAATTATTCAGTTAAATATTCAGGCCAATTCCGCTCGGGCGTTTCCTGACCTTGACCGGTCGTGTGAAGAACATTTTTAAAGAGATTGTTGTAGATAAGTCCAATTTTGCTTGAAGTGCACGTCAAACAAACTTATAGCGATATATTTCTCATTTGTTAAATATGAAGACATTTTTTTTTCATTCTGTTGATTTATAATAAGTGTATTTTTTCCACCATCGTTTTAGAGCATGATCATCGTTAAAATGTAAGTCAATGAGAAACAAATATAATCATGGATAATGCATTAACTTTATTATCTACAATGTAGTAATATTTCAGAAAAACATAAAAACTTGTGTGTTTTTTTTTTTACATTTTATTATTTTTGTTATATGAAACGCTTAAATTAAATAAATATGTAAAAATATTTTGCCGTCGGTCTAAAAACCAAGCATTATACAGTTTCATTAACCTTTTTAACAGTATTGTTGTAAATCTCATCTAATATATTGTTCATAAAAAAGGATTTTAATCGGAAAACCCCACGGTCACTCTAAAGTTCGTATACGAATTTTAACATGCAAATGAAGACTATAATCAGCTCGTGTTTACATGCGCTACGTCACAGTTTTAAAGTTGTTATCCGGAATACAACAAATATGAGATTTTCTTGTGCAAACACACTTTAACCGTTTTAACTTCACGTTGCACTAGGCCGGAAGTTCAGTAATTAGTAATCATCTCATAAAAAAGATTAAATTGTAAACTATGAAAACATCCGTTACAATGCGGGAATATACCGTTAAAGTAGGACTGCTATTAATAGTCATGTTTGTTGATTATAAGTCGAACACGATAACGTTTACATTAATCGGTCGTACCATTATGACATAATGGGTTGTGTAAGTTATTCAGTTATTGCATTTGTATTGCAATATAGTATATAAAAGTGGATATGGACATATAAATTAGTAGCGTTGTGGTTAGAGAATTCAGTTTATGAAGAGTTCATGTGAAAAAAATAATTTATTTTTCGATAATCTGCAATTGTTCAATATTTTTTGTGTCTGTATGGTTTTTACTTTCAGAAAACATTTTCATATTCTCTTTAATAAACCTGTGATTTATTTAATATTTTGTACAATTAAAGTTAAACTTATAATGGTTTAGAAAAATTGAATATATTTGATTTCAACAGTATTTGAACAGATTTAATAGTATTGTCAATTTACTGATATTTAAAACTTTGTTGTTTCTAACTTAATAAAAGTTCTCTAATAGTATTGTGTGAAAGAAATTCACGAGGAACTAAAAATATCTAAAAACAAAAAAATATAAGTAAAGAAAAAATGCGTTTTCAGGAATCGAACCAGGGTCTCAACACTGACGAAGCCAACACTCAACCACTACGCTATTACGCAGTATGAGTAATTGTTTAGGTGATTAAATATTTAGGCGATAAATAGTATCCTTTTATATAAGAATTATCGATACCCCTTTTGGTCAATATTGATATAAACAGATAATGAAAAGAATAGCGAATTCGAGCTGTACGGATGATGTTAAGGTGGAGTTACCCATGCAAACAGAAATTGTACTTCCCATTTTGCCACAATGAGGTTGTCCATTTTTTTTTGCTTATAAAACTCATTTTGGTTGTCTGGAAACCGAAATAAGATCTGGAGTCGATATGAAACCCAATTTATTAATGGAATGTCACTGTTTCTGTTTTTGTGAAATTAATTCATAAATTCAAATAACAAAATGATTGGTAAATCGATGAAAATAGGGTTTCTTGATCAATCATATCGTTTTATATCTGTGGAATCAAGATTCAGTAGTTTAAGAAAATGTACACACAGAGCATGTTACCTCCCGATTGTGTACATAAGGGCCACAGGAGAGAGAACCGCATCTTGCTTGAACAAAGTACAGTAAAAAACCGTTACTGTTTTCATAACTCCTGTCAATTGTTTCAGGACGACCATCAACACAAATGTAATCAGTAGCTGCCGGATGTGAGAACTTGCCCGCCATCAAATAGCCGTTGTATTGTAGACTGTAAGAATTTGGACAAATGGAAGTTCCTGGCACCATTAACACGTCATTATGAGGTACGCGACAAACAACACATGGCACGTCATGGTTATGTAAATAACTCCATTTGCTGTACATTTGTGTCTGATACTCGGCTCCGTAGATTCTTGCCACTGGTTCTTCCTTTGTTGTAAAATAGAGCCATGTTGGTTTTGTAGTTAAACATAACGGACGTGCGGCTGCACCACTATGCTCATAAAAGGAACCTGCTGTATATCCTTTATAAACTTCGGTAGATCCACTAGGACACGTTGTCCGACCCCAACGAATGTACGTAGATCCATGGGCATTGTTCTTCTCAAAGGCGTCACGATTGTCTTAAGATAAAAATAATTGAATAATGTTTACTGTAAATATACTGATGAAAATGATACTTTAAATCGTAAATGACAGACATCCGCATTTAAGAAAACAACATGTTTAGATTTTTCTAAACAGAGAAAAAAATCATTGAAAATGAATTATTGTAGGTTCGGCTTGATTCAGTCTGATCATGGACGGTAGTGGTTATTGCATGCTACTGACCACATCCCTTAGCACCAGCTTAAACATAATTCATCATTTAACATTAAAAGGTTAAAATTTGAATTTTAAAACATACGCAAATGGCGGTTCTCAATATGACACGTTAGTGCCATTCCATTAAAAAGCGGCATATAGTTCCCAAGTAATAAACAATTGTGTGCCCTAAAGGAGAAAACAATGGGCAAAACTAACTAAACTTGAATTTTGAAAGGTGTTCAGAAGTTATGAAGCCTGTATATCACAGATATGCTGTCAAAAGACAACTTTAAAAAGCAGGCAACATATCAAAAGAAATATTTAACTGGAAAGAACCAAAAAGTACTAAACCATTGAGAGAAAATCATACTATGAAATGGATATGTTATTTTGACGTGTTTTTTTTTCAATGGCTATGTAAATGTAGATCAATACTTGTAATGAACATTAACAGTAATTCCCTCGATTTCCTGAAAGTAGTGTATTACGAAGTAGCGTTCAAATATATAGAATAATACATGGTATAAATCAACAATTATAACAACAACGAGTCCCCAACATAATATAGTAATTCACTTTTTTCCTAATAAGAAAACTTTAATTTTATCTTCAGTATTTATACCTCTTATTTCTTGTCCATGTTTGTCAGTTATTGTCTCTTGTTTGGAAATTTTCGCCTCCATTTTGGAAATTTTCTCGTCTAGTTTCGTCAGTTGAAGGAGCACGTTATAATCGACTACCAAAGTCTTACATCCGGTTGTACTGTCATCGCAACGTACATTAAATAATCCTAGCACATATATTACCATAGCAAAGTACAATACAAATATATTATCCATTTAAGTTTATTTTTGTGTATAACAATTCGTTGTAAATACGTTTGTGTAGCGTATGTTTACCTGTTTCGGAAGGAAATGATTTGTTTTGAAAACTGAAAAATCCACACTAAAACGAACAAAATGTTTTGAATGTAATTTTGTTTTTGGACCAGCTATAAACCTTATCAAAAACTTCCTTCTTCCCTTTTTATGTTATAACAAATCAAATGTATGTATCGTTTACAATGTAATCTTTCTTAAGAAAAATGTACAATCTTAGTTTGTAACAATTGAATCTGACAGGAGTACTAAATGCAACAAAACTTAAGACATCTGTTACGACAATAATTTATTCACACTTTAAGTTATTATCTTTTTTTTCTCCATTTATTATTTACTCTTGTGTTCTTATTCTCAACTTGCTCACAATGCAGTCTTGTTATTTGTTTTTTTAAGAATATTTTGGAGATTCCAATGGCTCTGAAAATGTCATTTTAGTAATATGTATGAACTAAGTATTTTATCCCTTCATTTTCGTGGCCTGAATAATTTTAAGAAACGCATTGTTTTTAACTTTAAAAGAATCAAAACCAACGCATTTATTGCCTACCAGATACATATTTTACAAAAAGCAGAAAAAGCTATATATGCTTAGTGGAGTGGATAATGTCTGTTTCGTTTTTCTAAGTCTAATGCTAGAGGTGTAGCGTTTCTGTTTAATACAAATTTGGAATTTGAGATCCATAGAAAATAAATGATGATATAGGTAACTTTTATGCATACACTTGAAAAAATAGATGTTATGTGCTGCTGTACCCATTGGTGCTGTAAGAAGAATACGAATGTCATCAGGGTTCTGACCTTCCACTTCTAATGCTCGTAAGGCCATCTGGTATATTGCCGACATGAGATGTGATTAACCGGTTCCAGCACCACCGGATATAAAACAAAAAAGCTGATCTGGCTGAACAGTACTATTTTTAGACTGTCCTTTTTGACAACATTTAAAAACTGTTTGGAAGACACCCCTCTGCTTGGTATTTAAATATCTGACGTGATTTCGGTACTGATCTTCAAGACCAGAACCTCGGACGTATTTCTAAAGATGAAGAAGAACTGGTTTCTATTTAAAGTTTGAACTTTAATGTCAATTACTGGATGTGAATTAAGAAGATCATTAGTTGGATTTAAGGCAAACTCGTCATCTTCCAAAATAAGACTTCCTCATCGTTTCCTTGTTCAGTGGCTGGGGCAACAGTTTCAAACGCATGAAGAGGTGGGCCAAACTCTTGAAACTCTTCAACGCTTGAGTGATAATATCTTCATTTCAAGTTCTGACCGGTTTACTTGAATGATATGTTCATACTGATCGTAATGTTGTTGATAGGAAGGTAGTACTAATAATTGTTGTTCATCAGTCCAAGGCAAGAAAGGAAGTAATTGTGAATAGAAATATTTTTCTGCTTCTTTCAGTTTGGAATGTCTATGATATTGAAGTACTGATTTTTTATGTTTTTGATCATTGCTCCAAAATCGTTTTTTAGCTCAATGAAAATGTTTGATTTTTCTGTGGTTTCATCATCTGAGTCTGTAGTAGTATGTGTTTTCTTTGGTGAATAGGTAACAGCAAAGTGAGCTAAGCACATGTCTCGCAGCTGCTAAGGCCTGGCTGCATATCTGTCAAAAATCGATGTCGCAAAAACGTTTTCATCTTCATCTTCCATAGACACTATAAATGACATTGGCTTAAGGAATGAAACTCTACTCTCAGGTAGAAAATTTGAAAATTTACATTTGAAAAGTGGGAGACTCAACAATCTGTACGCTGCTTCTTGTGCGCTTAGCTCAAGAGAATTGAAAAAAAACATTTGCACACGATTTGACTTGTTCTCTCCAGTCCTGATTGTGCAATTCTTTTGAAACATATTCTCTTGAAACATTCTTCAACACTGTTGACATTTCCTTTTCATCCTTTGTAATGTATGATACCATGTAAGCTATGCATGCATATGGATCAAGGCAGTATTGAACATCTAAATTTGCCTCCCAGGCTAGAAGCAGATTGCTATTGTAAGGGTTTATAAACATTTCATTTATTTCTCTTCGATGTACAACTTGTTTTCCTCTTTAAATATAGAAAGGGGATACTCATAATGTTTCAAAGTTATACGTGTCGTTTCAAGCAGCTCACACAATGAATCAATGCTGTTGTCTGTATATTTTACAACAGCTTCATAGACATCTGTGAGAATGATGGCAGCTGCCTCAACAGTAGCTGTCATTAGAGCAACATCGACTGATTCCAATGGAGAAGCTATCAATGTATGAAGAGATGGCAGCTTGGGAAAGTTAGATCGACAGATTGTATTCTTCTTTCTACATGTTGCTGTGTGATGATGTCTTTGGACAGTTGTTACAACTTAGTATAGTTCTGGTTCATCTTTCTCTGATGGTATGTTGCATGTAAAGTAGCGGTCGATAAAATCAGCGATATTTTGATATGAATCAGTGGCCTTTGGAGCGTTTTCAACCCAAAAAACACAGTGAGCATGGGGTGGTCCTCTTTGCTGGAATTCTATCCTATATGAGAAATGAGTTATTTGGAATACTGAGTAGTATCTTGTTGAAAAAACACTGTAACTTATGGTCAAAATGTCTAACAGTCGTTATTGGGTTTGATCGTAGCAATCCAGACTTTTCTTCCCATGATAAGTTTTCTATTTGTTCATCAGTTAGTGGTCTACCCTGTTGTCTTAAGATTGCAAGTAAAGTGTCTGGCCACTTAAGATCTGCTGAAGAGAGCGTTAGAAAGAATGTAAATATTCCAAGGCATCAATTTGAACATACATTTTTGACAGCAGGGTGGTGATCCACGGACAGTCTGCAAAAAAGCTAGGCTTTATATTTAAGAATCAAAGATTTCACTCTATCTGGATCTTTAATATCCATTACGTTGGGTGACTTATTTATCTCTGACATTTAACTTTTTTTATTTTGCCAAAAGTGTTGCAGATATTCCTCGGAGGATACAAATGTAGGTTTGCAAGTGTACGAATTTGTCAACATTTGAAAGTGATTTCAAAAGTGCATATTATGTAGAAACTTACCTTTCAGAGATTGCACCTGAAAGGTGGGTATGCATTCAACTGTATCGCACGCCTCCTCAAAAAAAGTAACCAGGATGTCCCACTCCTTTCACCCTTATGTCCGCTCTAGGTTTTGAGCTGGATGGTTCCAGTATTCCAACTTTAATACTGTATAATCACCCTAAGGATATGTTGCCTGTTTTTTAAATTAGTCTCTTGATGTCTTGTCTGTGATATGCAGGCTTCATAACCTCAGCTCCCCTTTCAAAATTCAATTTTATTTAGTTCCTCTTATTGTTTTCTCGTTTAGGGCACACTCATTCTTTTACTTTGAGACCATACGCCGCTTTTCATGGAATAGTACGAAAGTATCACATTGAAGGTTCCATGATAACCGCCGTATGAACACATCTGCGATGATTCTAAATTCAAAGTTTCCCCATTTTCCTGTTTAAATGTTGAATTCTGCTTAAGCCTGTGCTAGGGGGCGCGGACGATAAGTTGCACTTTCCAGAACCGTTCATGAACAGGCTTAATTAAACTTAGTTTAGTTTAATAATATTTTATTGCTAATATATACATGTAAATATACAGAGAAACAAACTGATTTCGAAATAACAAATAGCGAAAGGGTTGGGCCCAAGTTCTTACAATATTAGCGATCGGCCCTCCCCATAAATAAACGGAGCCTGCAACATTTTCAATTTCGCCATTTTGGAATTTCTTTGGGGATTCTTATTTTCTCTTTTTTATTGCTACGTCAGCGTTGTTTGTGCTGCGTTGAGGCTGTTAAAAGTCGCCCCATACATTTAATCAGAGATGTTATATTTTCGATCCTTAAAGATCATTCAACACGACATTATTGTTGTGTTTGTGGTATTTTTTAGTTTCAACTATTTGGCGTTTTTTTTCGGTTTGGGTGGTTCCAACATTCCTACTTGAATAATGTTGTATCACCCTTAGGATATGTTGCCTGCTTTGAAACTTTGTCTTTTGACGCTTTATCTGCTATATGCAGGCTTAATAACCTTTGATCCCCTTTAAAAATTAAATTACATTTTGTTTAGTTCGGCCCACTGTTTTCTTGTTTAGGGCACACGCTTTTATTATTTGAGGAACATACGCCGCTTTTTATGGAATGGCACGGAAGTGTCACATTGAAGGTTCCATGATAACCGCCGTATGAACACATTTGTGGATGTTTCTAAACTCAAAATTTTACCATTTCACGTTTAAATGTTGAATTTTGCTTAAGCCGGTGCTAAGGGGCGTTGACGGTAGTTTGCACTTGGCAGTACTGTCCATGAACAGGCTCAATCAAACCGAGCCTGCAACATTTTCAATTTTGCCGTTTTGGACTTTCTTTAGGAATTCTTATTTCTCTCTATTTTATCGCCACGTCAGCGTTGTTTGTGCCGCGTGAAGGCTGTAAAAATCGCACCGTACATTCAATCAGGTATATTATATTTCCGATCCTTAAATACCATCCAACACGACATTTTTGTTGTGTTTGTGGTATTGTTTAGTTTCATCTATTTGGCTTTTTTCGGTTTGGGTGGTTCCAATATTCCTACTTGAATAATGTTGAATCACCCTTAGGACAAATTAAGAGCAACTAAGTTTAAACTTTGCATCTGAGTTATTTGAATTCGTTTTTAAAGAAACTTGAATGACTATATTGATCTATCGATTTATAGAGTACTATATTGTATGTGACTATGAGCTAAAACGGCTTTGTTAATTGTGTATTGTGATGTTTATGAAAGAATAAAGCTTCTTCGTCTTCTTTGGACTGTTAAATTTTGATAAGCTTCGTGATTTACTTAAGGATTGCAGTAACAAAAAGAAAAAACAGATTGAGAATACACTGTTGTTTAATTGACTTTTTTACACAATAAAATGTCATAATAGAACACACACTGTAAGTGTATTTAACAAATTCTCTAACTTGTATATCACTGAACAAAATGTTTTTTTTCTCTAAGCAAACAGTTACACACAAAAAGAAACTAGTCCGATATATTTTTGCATTATTTCAACATTCATTATGATATATTGACTTCAAAGCAATACAAAGAGAAACATTATTATGCGTCGAATGTCAATGACATGGTTACCTAAACATTATGGAAGCTGAATCTATTCAATAATTATTTGCATTTTAGAGCTTTGATAAAAAGGTTGATGATGTAAGCTCTTGTATAAATAGTCTGTTGATCTCTATTGCAATCGGCACTAATTTGTCCAAACTGTTGGATAAAAAGTCAACAGTTCTCATGTAAGATGTTCCCGCAGCTGTTAAACCGCCAAATATAGAGAATGCAACTGAAGCAAAAAAGGAAGCACCTTTGCGTGTAAAATGCTCTTTCATAATTTGTACAAGGATCTTTGCAGGATCTTTAAGTAAACCTTTCTCAACGTTTATGCTTGCTGTTAGCTCATCAGTTGTTTTATTCATTGACCGAGCAATTTCTTGCAACGAGGCATCATCAAGGCGAAGTTGTTTCTTATAGAAATTGATTTCATTTTGTATCAGTACTGCATCAACAACTATATTCATGCCCGGCAAAGGTAATATCCCCTCAACTGCCGAGCATATTGCTACTTTGTACATTCGTTCACGCATTAGATCTTCCTTCTTCTTGATAACTTTTTCGGTTAAGTGTGTCACTGTCAATGTTATTGCCTCATGTTTTATTTGAGGTACTGCATCAATCATTTTATCAAGAAAGTCTGGATAGTCATAATCACACGGACAGTGGTTGTCAATCAGGAACACTTTGACATTCGTAAGTTCCTCCTTTTCAATATAATTTTCCATCGCTTCTCTTACTCTACTGACTGTGTCATCTTTACTGTTCTTAGGATTATCATATAGATCATTCTGTACATCAATGCTCATTTTTGAACGGATAAAAAAGAACTTCTTCCCTCGCTTTTCAACTTCCTTTGCTAACCACAAATCATTTTCTGTGAATCTAGTTGCTGTAATAATAAGGAAGAAATCATACTTGTCAAACTTTACGTCTTGCAAATATGTTCTTTTAGGGAAGTTCTGTGTACCTAACCCTGGAAGGTCCCAAAGTGCTAGGTTATCATTAACTGGATGCACATATTTCGTTGGTAATATAGTCGTCTCTTCTACACCCACCTTGGCTGCTCCTTCACAATTTGCTTTGAGACCTCTAAAACTATTTATGAATGAGGATTTGCCAGCCCCAGAATTTCCCGTGATAGCAATGTTGACTGGCACATTTCGCCACTTGGTGATGTCTTCTTCAACATGCCTCTTCAACTTTAATATATCGCCTTTTTCATATGCTTTTTTATAGCTTTCGATCTCCATTTGAGCAATAACGCCATTTCGATCATTTGAAACTTGTGGTAAGTGCTAACCTTTAGACGAATCCATTCCGCACTTTAATTGTTGAAGTACAATCTGAAATAACGGTAAAGAAAGTGTCGCTAAAGTTAGGGCATTCGTTGCACAATCTGTCACATGGTTGTTGATGTCGATCGATTTTAATTGAAAGTAAATGTAAAGAAAGCGGACAATTTAAAATACAAGAGCCATGTAAACATGGCCATCCCCCGCCGAATTTGTTTGCTCATTGGAAGAATGTATATGAAGCAAAGCAGAGGAATTCAATTTTAATTAGGTATTTTTGTAATGAAAACTGATGGCTGAAGTGATTACAGATTTGAAACCTATGTGAATACTGATGGCTGAAAATAACAAAGGGCAATAACGTTATGCAAGGTAGGTTATCATTCTTTTGTGCTGCACTCCTCCTCTATGAGATCTATCCACCTATTTTTCAATTTGGTACCTCTAACACTTTAGGAGATAAGCTCCGGACAAAAAGTATGAAAAATTACAAATGGCAAAAATTATAAAGGGTAGAGTTATCATTCATGCGCAAAGCATTTCTCCTCAATAAGATAAATCCACCTATGAAGTTTCATGTTGACATCTCAAAGACTTTTTGAGTTTTGCTCCACTCAGGTGAAAAAATAAGTATGAAAAATAACAAAGGACAATTAATAAAAAAAATATGACTGTGCACTGCACACTTCCTGAGTGAGATATATCCACCTTTGAAGTTTTATGTTGATATCTCAAAGGCTTTTTGAGTTATGCTCTGGACATAAATTAAGTTTGAAAAATAACAAAGGGCCATTACTGAAACATAATGCAGGATAGTTATCATTTTTATGCACTGCACTACTCCCCAATATGATCTATCCACTTATGAAGTTTCAAGTTGATATCTCAAACACTTTTTGAAATATGCTCCGGACAAAAAGTATGAAAAATAACAAAGGGCAATAACTCAAAAATTATAAAGGGTAGGGTTATCATTCTTGCACACACCATTCCTCCTCAATATATCTACGCACCTATGAAGTTTTATGTTGACATCTCAAAGACTTTTTGAGTTATGGTCCACTCAGGTGAAAAATTGAGTATGAACAAGAGCCCGGTTTGACCCGGGTGATGCTCCCCGAATAGGTTTTGGACACAGGAAAGAACACCTCTTGTAGTTTCAGAGTTATGTCCCTGGAAAAAGTACAAAGTGCAATAATTCCAAAATTAGGCAAGACAGATTTACTGTTCTTTGCACTGCACTTGTAATCAATGTGATCTATCAACCTACAAAGTTTCTTAATGATATCTCTTATGATTTCCAAGTTATGTCCTGGACAACTTCAAAAAGTAAAAATAAACAAAGGGCAATAACTCCAGAATTAGGCATGGCAGAGTTATGATTCTTATGCACTGCACATCTACCCATTGAGATATATCTACCTACAAAGTTTCATGTTGATATCTCTTTTAGTTTTACAGCTATGTCCTGGACAAGATTTTTCTAAAAGGGGAGATAATTTAAAAATGAGGCTTAACAGAGTTATGGTTCTTTTGCACTGCACCTCTACTCAATGAGATCTATCTACCTACAAGGTTTCATTTTGATATCTCTTATAGTTTTAGAGTTATGTTCCGGACAAAGATCAAAGTGTTAAAATTAACAAAGGGCAATAACTCCAAAATTAGGACAAAAAGAGTAATTGTTCTTATGCACTGCACATCTACCCATTGAGATCTATTCACCTACAAAGTTTCATGTTGATATCTCTTATAGTTTTAGAGTTATGCCCCGGACAAGATTTTTCTATAAGGGGAGATAATTCAAAAACCGGGCAAAATAGAGTTATGGTTCTTTGACACTGCTCTCCCCCTCAATGCCCTCTATTACTGTATGAAGTTTCATCAAATTATCTCCAAGGGTTTTCAAGTTATGCTCCGGACAAGACAACGGATGGACAGACGGACGGACGGACAGACGGACAAGGCGCCGACTATATGCTCCCCCGAAATTTTTCGGGGAGCATAAAAATAACAAAGGGCAATAGCCAAAAAATTATGAAGGATAGAGTTATCATTCTTGTGTACTGCACACCTCCTTGGTGAGATCTATCCAACTATGAAGTTTCATGTTGATATCTCAAAGGCTTTTTGAGTCATGCTCTGGGCAAAACTGAAGTCTGAAAAATAACACAATGGTAATAACTGAAAAATAATGCAGGGTAAAGTTATCAGTCTTGTGCACTGCACTTCTCCTCAATATGATCTATCCAACTATGAAGTTTCAAGTTGATACCTCAAATACTTTTTGATATATGCTCCGGACAAAAATGTGGGACGGAAGGACGGACGGACGGAAGGGCAGACGGACGGACGGAAGGACGGACAAAGACTATTTCTATATCCCCCGCCGCCTTTCGGCGGGGGATAAAAAGCGTATTGCATTAAAAAATGTTAATGTGAACAAGTGATAAAGCATAAAGCAGAATAAAGGCGATAACATCATAATAGATCTAGAAATATTTATATTAACAAAATTGACGTTTAAACCTCATTTTTTATTCATCTACACATTATCATCAATACAAGGTAGTAGAAATACCAGATTTTAAAGGACAATGAACTTATTTCTGAAAACATTAACTTAGTCTTATACTAACTTCGAATACCGAATATAGATATTACAAAATACTCCAAATTAAAGGAAAATTAGATTTAAATTTCGTACTTTTCTATTTATTTATGGTTAATTAGTATATAGAAGTATATATACTCAATAAGTAATATTTCTAAAGGTCTGCCCTTTTTAATAAATTATCTTCATCAAATGGATCTATTGTGGATTAACATGCATAAACATACTTTTTTATTTTCTTTTGGAAAGTGCAGCACAATTTATTTTCGTAATTGTGAAAAGAATAATGGTGAAAACGTGGATTAACATGCATAAACATACTTTTTTATTATTTTTTGGAAAGTGCAGCACAATTTATTTCGTAATTGTCAAAAGAATAATGGTGAAAACGTTAAGTATGCATAAACATACTTTTTTATTTTCTTTTGGAAAGTGCAGCACAATTTATTTTCGTAATTGTCAAAAGAATAATGGTTAAAACGTTAAGTTGTACAAATAAATGCTAATTCAACTAACTTAAGAGTTATTTTTAAGTAACTGCTTAAAAATATAATAATTCATCGTAATAAAAATTGTACCTTTTAAGAGTCCCAGTACTTGTCCCGTCGAAACCAAGGCGCAACTAATATCTATGTTAACTTATTTATTAAACCCGCTTAAAGTTTGTAAAACACGAAACATGATGGATCACGAACATTATCTAAATATTTGATCGCTCAAATACTTCATAAGCAAACTGCCTCATTGATAACGATTATACCAATTTGAATGACAAATTACATTGTCAAGTTACCAATTAAGTTAAAACTTGATCATGCTTTTTAAGATTTAAAGATTAAAACATAATGCCACTAATCTTGGCTTTAACTATAGTTTCTCATTCTATTACAGCCGTTCTCTAACCAATCATACCTTTGATTGTTACAACCACTATAAGATACATTTCGCTATTATTCCATGAGATATTTAGTACCATAAGATTGTTATATGTTTACGCATTCATAAGACTTAATTTCTTTGTAGGTGGGCACTTTTTTCATATTTAATAACCTTTGAAACACCGATATATCATAAATTTCTTCCGTAGTTGTGCTAACCAATTGCAAACAGCACGCAAACGCGGTTTTTTCCTATTCGTCTGATAATTGTCACATTTTAACGCAGAAATTCACATATAGATACGCACAAACACGCATAGACACGTGTGTAATTAATCTTGGATTGTGTTAATTTCAACCATATTCTTAAAAAATCCCTAACATGATACAGAGTTACTGAAATGATTGAAAAAAAAACTTAAATCAGTTAAAATCACTGTTTGCTTTATATATATTTTATTTTTACGCACTTGAACTTGAACTAAAATCCGTATTAAAGCTGCTCGCCTCTAAATGAGCAAAACTTGAGAAATATGTACTAATTTTAGGAAAAGTATTAAGATTCAAAATTCTAGTAATAATTTACATGTTATGTCCGATATTAATGACCGACTTTTTAGTATTAATAACTATATTTGTACTGCGTTACTAACGCAGTAAGAGCTATTTTGACATATTTTGACCTCTTTATGGTAATTTACATGGGTTGTAAGTGCCATTAATAATGTGTAAATTGCATTCTTTTGGTAACTTTACAATATTATTCTGATAAATACATTTTCAAATTTTCAGGAAAATTAGCATGGATCTGGAGGCGTGCTTTTTTAAATAGACTGTTTTTTTTTAAACAAAGTGAATTATTTCTGGTAGGGATGGCAACGAGAAATCGGTTAACGGAATACCCGATCGAACCTCCGATTATCGAAAACTGATATTCGATTACTCGGAAACAATATATAATTTCTACATTTTCTTCTTTTTTTTGCGATATTGCATGATTGGTGTATCAAGTTAGTTCAGAAATTCAGAGATGCCGAGCATGTATAAATGCATAAATGTATAAATACGATCAATAGTTTGACACACGCATGGGATTGAACACAGCCCTGTGTCGCTTACGTCATCCGGCCTCTAACCATCTTTAATTGCATTAAAGTTTGCATTAATTAAAACTTTGTAAGACAATGTCGTTGATTTAGTTTTTATTAATTTGCTTATTGGTTTATTCTAAGTTACCTCCCTTGCTGTTTATTTAGTCATGAATTCTATGAACGAAAGTAGCATGTAGACCGTGTTGATATTGTGTGATAAAATTTGAAGATCATTGGAAATCATCCGAGTACCGAGTACTCGATAGGAAAAATGACCGAATACTTGAGTATTAGTTTGGTATTCGTTGCCATCCCAATTTTCTAGTCATAAATCTAATTTTTCATGGCATTTTTTTTAATGTCGGCCAAATTGACCCATGCCGAATAAACTTGTGCGAAGTTGATATAGGGCTGAGTTGAGTTGACTTTTTCCAGGGAACTCGGTAATAAAAGGTTAGTAATCCAATAAACATATTCTCGAACCCCATGATACCGGTGGCTCCACGGTACCGTTGTATTCACATATCTCGCGGTATTATTGTCAACGCCACTTACCGACTGTTTATATTGGCATGCTTTAGTAATATTTGCTATTTCAAAGTTTTTAAACATTTTGATGAGTTTCTGAAGAAAATATTTCACATATCCTACGATATTTTTCATTTACTATTATTTTCCACCATTGTCCTACAAAACATTTTTTTTTCAAAAAATAAAAATAACAGGTTCTGACGTTATTCATACCTCCATTATATTGTCAAATGACACTTTGACATCATTTTTGGCGGGAAAAAAATAATCTATGGAAAGCCATAAGTACATATAAAATAGTTTGCGAAAATTGAAAAGTCAGTTTCATTCAGTCTCTTAAAGGAGTCTGTGTAAAGTGCCATATTGATATTTAATCTCCATCATATAGAAAAAATATATAAATTCAATGATATTAAAGGACAGCACTTAAATTAATAAGTTTTTTTTTCAGATATGAAAACAAGAATGCTATTTTTGTTATTAAAACTGCAATGGCTTTCCATATAAATAACATTTTTACCAGTGCACCGGTAGCATGAATTCTGTTTAACTACATCATACAAAATGGTCGACCATTGTTTTCAATTGTCTGATCATGAATTTATGTGACTATCAACTGTTTAATTATTGTTTTTCAAGCATTTTCATGTATCAGTTGCCTATTCCATATTGCTCCTATCACAGAAACTTTATAATCATTCCTGTAGACCAAATAATTTTCATTTGATTCGAATTTGCATAACATACCGATCCTTATTCTGTATTGTTTTACATTTTAGCCGTTAAAATTTAAACACTCCTCAAGCAACTTGCAATAGAAATGTTTGTTGAAATAGACAGTCTAAGATATATTATTCGGTAGTGCTTGTAAAAATAGATTAGTTAATTAGATATGAAAAATGAAATTTGTGTAGGTGGATCTTGACTGTCCATTTTTAGAATACGTTTGTATACCTATCCTTATTCTAGTGTCATAGGCAATTAGAATTGTTGACCAAGGACTTTGTAATGGTCTTTTAAACGTGGTATGTACCTTAAGAACTCTACTGAGGTCAAAAGACTAAAAACATAAAATTTAATTTCTTGGATATATCAACTTGGGCACTTAAAACAGACAGATATACAACTATACAAAAGGTTATCATGATATATGTGTATACTCTGAAATAAATTGAAAATCGTAGTTTTGTGCTACGCTTAGCCATATATGAGTGAAAATTGTTGCAATGCTTTTCAATTTTGGATCATTTTTTAGAAATAGAATAATTGTTCTTTGAATCGGAGTGAGCTGAAAGTTTGCATACAAGTTATTGGTCTAGGCTTACATCAAATTGAACATAAATCTCGAAAACTTATTTCAAGTCCCGTGATGTCAAAAGTTCTCAGTTGATTTAAAATGTAAGTGTTAAAGTGTTAATTTTCATTTACTGTATATAAGCAGACTCCTAGGCGCCCATATCCGTTGTTTCGAAAAAGTGTCGAATCCCACACACAAATACGAGTATATTCAACCTTGATAGATTAATTAAATGTCTATGTCAGACTGTGTGCTATTAGTAATAATTATATGTCCATTTGTTTTACATACACAAAATTGACTATGTTTTACACATTTTTATTTGGTTATAACAGAAGTTAAATAAGAGGGACATTGGGCCCTGGGTCGCTCACCTGAGGCATAGGTTTATGTCCGTATTTAGAGTTTTTGAAGACAAACGCTCTTTGTTTCAATTGAACTGGGTAAAAGGTGATCTCAGTTTTATAAAAGGTTTCCCCTAGATCTGGTCGGGTATCTTAGTTTCTGAACCTATATGACTTAGTTTCAAATCACAAATGTACAAATATCTTTTGGAATCTGATTAAAAGCCTCAAAAACATCGCAAAAATGTGTGCGACAATATTTTGTGGCCAATGTGCAAAATTGTAAGAGAATAACAAAGACTACAAGTAAATGAACAATTTGTTTATTTATACGAATACTTGAAATTACACTGTTTAGTTGAATACAGTCTGAATGACAAAGATATCTGAAAGATAAATCTGTTAAATTTTAAAGAAAAGAACATCGAGCTATAATGGCAACGCCACGAAAGCAGGTTTTCAATTATCACTATTGTTTGCATGTCATTTGAAACTAAATACAAGCAACTTACAATATAACTTTATGCATTGAAATAATAAAACAGACGAAACAGACGACGGACGACAGACAACACGATGTCACAAAAGTTCACATTGTCACTCTTTGGCAGGTGAGCTAAAAATTGATAAGCACCTCGGCGGGGTCTCTTTTCATCCTAGGGGCATTATTTGAACAATGTTTGTAGAGGTCCACTAGATAATTTTACCTACCAAATATTAAGACTCTTGGCCAGATTTTGACATGAAATTTTTTTTTAAAGATTTCCATATACAACTTTATATAAAACTGATGAGCCCCCCCCCGGCGAGCCCCTTTGACCCTAGGGGTATTATTTGAACAATCTTTGTAGAAGACCACTACATGATGTTATATGCCTAATATCAAAGCTGTAGGCCTTGTGATTTTTGACAAGAAGATAAATAAAGACTTTTAAAAAAAAACAACCGAGTAACCCCCATTGCGGGTCCCTTTTTGACCCTAGGAGCATAATTTGAACAGTCTTTGTAGAAGACCACTATAACATGTTACCTACAAAATATCAAGGCTCTACGCTTTGTAGATTTTGATAAGAAGATTTTTTACGATTTCCCTATGTAACTTTATATAAAACTGACGCTAAGGTTATAATTTGCTCAATCTTTGAAGAGGACCCCTAAATTATGTTACAAATTGCTCCTTTTATGATTTGTCATTATATATATTTTTTATCTTACTTTAAAATATGTACATTGTATATAAAAGAATAACAAGATAAATATCTTTACTGGAATGTAGATTTTAAGATAAATGTTTTATCAACACTCAGACTGTGGTCTCCTGCACATATCAAACATTGTTATTAAGTTTTCAAATAGTGAAATTATTTTATAGTTAATATAGTCTTAGATAAATGTAATTTGACAGTGAAAACAGTTTTTGAAAAGTTTATTTGACAGGATATGGTTTTATAAATGTCATTTATTGACTTACAAAAATGATCTACATTCCAAGGTTAAATGATATATAATAGTCAATTTTTCTTT